GCGAGCGGGAGCGCGCGCAGCAAGCCGCGCCACAACGCCGCGCGGATCGGCCTCTCCCCCTCCCCCTCGGCGGCGTCGGCGCCCCCTTTCCCCTCGGCCGTGCCTGCTGCCGAAACCTGCGTGCGGCCGAGGTACTCCTGGCGCAGCGTCTCGCTCCGCACCTATGAGAGGGAAACGCGTGCCGTCACACGCTGCAGCTATCAACTCCTGGCGCGGCTCCTCGCTCCGCACCAGGCCGGTCGGATCGAGCCCGCTGCTCGCCGAGGGCAGCAGGGCAGGCGGAGGAGGCTTGGAGGCGCTCTCGACTCCAAGGGCGACCACAGATCCCGCCCTCGCCGCCGCCCCACCTGCCACCGCGCTGTACGGAGGCGGAGGCGCCACCGCAGCGCTGTACGGAGGCGGTGGCGCCGTCGGAGGAGGTGGCTGCGCGCGGCACTCCAATCCGATCCCAACCACCGACCCGGCCCTCGCTGCCGCACCCCGCGCCAGCACCGTGTGACGCGGAGCCGCCGCGGGCAGCGGCGGAGTCGACGGTGGAGGCGGCCGCGACGACGCCTCGACGCCGAGAGCGATCAGCGACCCGGCCCTCCCCGCCGCGGGGCCTAGTCTCAAGCAATCTCGGGTGAGGGGGGCATCTCAGCCGAACCACTCGCCCCTTTGTGGCGGTGGCAGCGCCGCCTGGCGTCGCCGCGCGGTAGAGAGGCGGAGACGGGTCATCTGGCGGGCCGGGCGGCGGCGGCGCAGGCGGCGCATCGACGACCAACGCGACGGTGGACCCGTGTGCTGACCGCACGGGCACCCTTGGCGCGGGAAGGGAGCGAGAGCGCTCTCGGGTGAGCCGCATGCGCCGCGCCTACAGCCATACCCGGGGAAGGCTCCGACGACGGCTCCGAGAGGAGGCCGCCAAGCCAGCGGCAAGCGCTGGCTCCTCTGGCGGCGGCGGAGGGGGAAGCCCGTCCGGCAGCTCCACCGAGCGGCGGAGGGAGTCGTGCAGGCGAGCCACGGAGGAGGGTGGCGCTGGGCAGTAGTCGCCCCGGGACAGCCGGCCCGGGTACCTCACCCCCAAAGGAGGAAATCCTCCGACCGCAGAGAGCCGCGGCGGGGGAGGACCGGCGCCGCGAGCCAAAGAGGCGGGGGGACGAGGTGGCGGCGAGGACGGCGGCGAGGACGGCGGCGAGGACGGTGGCGAGGGCGGAGGCGAGGGCGGAGGCGAGGGCGAAGGCGAGGGCGAAGGCAATGGTGGGGCTGGGGACGTTGGCAGCGACGGCGGCGGCCCTGGCGGCGGCGGCGGCGGCGTTCCCGGCGGCGGCCGTTCTGACGCTCGCGGTGGGGGCAGAGGCGGTGCCGACGCGCCGGCGCTGCGTGCCAAGGCGACAAGCTCCAGCGCACAGCTGCCGACGATGGCGAGGAAGATGAGTCCGAAGGGCCAGAGTCCCCACGCGATTAGGCGGGTGAGGTAGGAGCCGTAGCATGAGGGAGGGAGGAAGAGGTCGAGCCCGATGCTCTAGGGGCAGCAGGTGGGTCGGGGTGTGAGGGGGTGGGTAGGGGTGGCCCGGGATTTGAAGGGGGGGTGGTCCCGTGGGTGGGTTGGGGGGGGGGGCTTTCCGGGGAGGTTCCGGGTGGGTCGCGTTGTTTAGGGGGTTGTCTAAGGTTTTTTAAGGCGTTT